TGGTTCTTATTTTGGATTTTTGGTTTCTTTTAGGGAACTGCCTTGTCCAGAGCCTGACCTTTTTTTTTTTTTTTTTCAAACGAAAAATTATTTAAATTTGCATCTGTAGCTATAATACCTTCTTACTTCTTTTAACATAAGTATTGTATTAAAAGTTAAAAGTGTTCAGCCAGGTATGGTGGCTCACACCTGTAATCCCAGCACTTTGAGAGGCTGAGGTGGGAAGATTGCTTGAAACCAGGACTTTGAGACAAACCTGGGCCACACAGTAAGACCTCTGTCTCTAGAAAAAAAAATAATAAAAGAATTAGCTGGGCACAGTGGCATGTGTCTGTAATCCCAGATACTTGGGAGGCTGAGGTGGGAGGATCACTTGTGCCCAAGGGTTTGAGGATGCAGTGAGCTGTGATTGCACCATTGCCATCCAGCCTGGGCAACAGCAAGACTTGGTCTCTTTAAAAAAAGCTGTTTAAAGTGTTAAAAGCACAGCAGCAAAATTAACAACCATCCCTTAGTATCACGAATACCTAGTCCATCTTCTGATTTTTCCCTGCATTATCCAAGGTGTCTTTCTAAAGTCCCCCTCCCTTTCTTTTTGCAAACTATTGATTTGTTGAAGGAGCTGGACCATTTGCTTTAAGTTTGCTCTAAAGATTGCTTCCTTGAGGTATTGTTTGACTTGTGTTTGGTATAAGGTCGCTAGATCTGGAGGCTTCATGAGATTCAGGCTCAACTTTTTCGGAGCCTGACTTTCTAATAACTAGGTGTGAAGTGAGCATATTAATAATTGAGCATGGGAATTAGTAAGATGTCCCCTCTGAAAGTGGAGAGTAGGCATGGGCATGGGTGTTAGCAGATGGGGCCAGGTAATGATCAAGGCACTAAGCTTGGAGTAGATGAGTTTGAGCTAAGATACTCTAACCCAGCTGTGAACCCCAGGAACTGGTCTGTAGCATGATATGAGGAGGAGGTAGCATCTGTCTGGTTAGGAAACTTTTTCAAATAACTTCTAAATGATAGACAACTCTCAAGCAATAGCTTGACTGTTGAATAGAAGATTAAGAAAAGTTGGTTGAGGAAAATGAAGAAATGAAATGGTTACAGAAGTGTGGGAGGGGAATGGCTGAGACTGGGCCACAGTCCAGATATGGAACTGAATTTCTAGTGTTTCCCACCATGGTCTGTATTGAAACTTCTCCTCCTGGTTGTATGGCCACATGATGGCCCAGAGCAGTAGCTAGCTCTTCAGAATTTACTGGCTCGTTAAACTTTCCAGAGTGGCTGCTTGCTGTGGTCTGTGTTGGGGACTGGCAACCACACCAAACTTGAATCACAGATTATAAGAAATAACACTATCAGCAGCAGGCAGTGAATGCATGCTGACGTGAATGCCTAAAGAGAAGTGCACAAATGCCGTGGGATTTATTCCAAGTGGTGCCTCCCTACTCTCGAAAGTGGAGAAATAACTGTTGGAGTGACTTGTGATGTTGGCCCTAGAGTTGTATGGGCTTGAAGAAGGATTATGCAGACTCTTGATGTATTGTCTTCTCTTTAGCAACCAGTAGGATGGACTCAGGGACCTCAGAGATGAGATGTTGGCACATGTATACCAAAAACAGCATAAGGACACTAGAGGGAGGGGGTGGAGACACTTTTTTAGGTTTGTGACCCTGGACTTCACACCTCTGTGCCTCAGTTTTCCCATCTCTCAAGTGGAGATAATCTTCATCATCACCACCTCATGGGGCTGGGTGAATTAAGAAAAATAAATATGTAAAGTGTTAAGAACTGAGCCTGGCACGTAGTAGGTATTCATCCAAGCACCTGAGTTTTTATAGCTCTCGGTAAATGTCTGCTTAATGAGTACATAAATGTTAGCCATCATGTGAAGCTAGATGTTATTACTGCGTGCTTGTGTCAGCTGATACTATGTGATATAGATCAGCACTGTGAATGAAGAAAGTCACAACTTTTACATAGGTTTCAGGAGGTATATATACAGGTAGTAAAATTAATTGTGCTTTGACTAGCGCTGGAAGCACAACTGAAGCCGTGTATGTGTGTAAGCTGGTCATTTATATACAGGTTGTCAGTCCTTAGATGCCCAAATGCTGCCACTTTGAGGAATTCTTTGAGAGCTGCCAGTGGTGTTTCAGGTCCTCTGTGGTGTTCCCTAACATTTGTTATCGACGTGTGTGTATGTCTCTCATCTCCTCTGTTGTCTGTAAGCTCCTAGAAGACAGAATCTCTAATAGTGCTCTGCGTGAAGCAGGCAGTCATTAAATACTAAGTGCCCAGACCAGGTTATGTTTTCAGCAAGACAGGGAAATTCATCAGATTTTTATTAGAAAACACTGCATAGAACATGTGTGTTGGAGGGATGTTATATATGGAGCTGCCTCTTTGTTGCAGGGAGATAGATAAAGGAGTTTTCTCATCACCTGTTGCATATGACTGTGATTCTGCAAATGTGTCATGGTCCCCAGACTATAGGCATGGACCTGGATGTCCATGAGAATTCAAGGAGGTTTAAGACATGGCCTCCACCTGCAAAGGCTGCAGAGACAGACCAGAAGCAGGCTGAAAGTTAAAGAAGGTAGAAGCCAGGCTGGGCGCAGTGGCTCACGCCTATAATCCCAGCACTTTGGGAGGCTGAGGCAGGTGGATGACGAGGTCAGGAGATTGAGACCATCCTGATCAACACGGTGAAACCCCATCTCTACTAAAAATACAAAAAATTAGCCGAGTGTGGTGGTGGGTGCCTGTAGTCCCAGCTACTCGGGAGGCTGAGGCAGGAGAATGGTATGAATCTGGGAGGCAGAGCTTGCGGTGAGCAGAGATTGCGCCACTGCACTCCAGCCTGGGCGACAGAGCGAGACTTTGTCAAAAAAAAAAAAAAAAAAAAAAAAAAAAGAAGGTAGAAGGCAGTTTGTGCTCTGGACTCAGAGGAGCGGAGTATGGTCTGCAAGCTAAGCAAAGGGAGGTTTTATGGATAAGTGGGTGGGTAGCAGCTTCCGCATTTGCAGAGAGGACGTAAATTACTTCTTTGGCTCAAATGACAAGGTGAGGTTTATATGACTGAGACCTAAGTGTGCTTCAGGACCCACCTACTTGTTTTTGCTACAGACAGCCTGGAACTGGAGTCAGAGCCACTCCGTTAGGCTTTGTTAGCTGCATGGCAGTTAGGTGTTAAGACCACTTTGAGATGAAAGGCCTGTCTGGCACTTCTCTACCAGTCTCAGCTTCCCGAGTGAAGATAAGACTAGTGCCCGCTTTCTAGGGTTACCAGGAGTATTAACGAGACAGTAGGTATCACCATCAGCAGATGGGCTGAACTTGGAGGAAACATTTGGGAAACAGCTTTATCAGGTGCATACCTCTGTCACCAAAGGCGATGTGGAATCTTCCCACTTGCCTCTTCAGAGCATCCTGGGCAGATCTCCTAGATTCCTAGTGATTTTCTGTAGGTTATCGTATTAAAAAGCCAGTTTTAGGCTTCTTCGTTCTACCAAACTCAAGAGTTTCAGAAAACAGCAGTGCTGAAGCATTAGTGTCGGCATCTATTTTGTTTTTTTTTTGGTGTATGTGGGGGTCCTTGCTCCACTTCTTTGCTTCTTTCCACCCGCTGCTGGCCCCTCCATAGTCAAGGGTCAAGGGAATTGAAGATTAGAGAAGTAGGCAGAGTTTTTTCACTTACCAAGTGCTGCTGCGCTCCCTCTGGGCTGCCGCATGTCTCCTGTCATGGCTGGCCTTTTGTAGGGGCACATTAGTGGTTTCTTAGAGCTGCCTCCCCGCAACTGTCATCCCACCCTCAGGGACCTTACAAGGATCTTTCCCTGATGCTCTGTCCAGCTGGCCTCTGCAGCCTTCACCCCCAGCTGCCCTGAGCCTTCTCCACTGGCAGACAGCCCACCCACTTCTGCAGGGTCCTGCATGGGTCACTTGGCTGTCTTCTGATTCTGAGCTGTCCTGCTGGTCCCCCAGGAAATCCAACATCCTTGTCCTGACAGAGTTGCCCTGCTGCTTGCTCTTCCCCTGCAGCCTTCCTAGCAGCTGCAGCCAGGTGACGGGCAAGCCCTCTACAAGCTCCTGGGAACTCCCTGTGCTCTGGTCCGGAAACAGTATGGGGTGGGCTCGTGAGCTTGAGCAGCTCTGCAGTGCTTTAATGGGCCGTGCAATGCCATTTTTCTTTCTTGCAAGTCTCCATTCTTCAGGAGGCATTCTCTCCAATACCCTCATGGAAGGGAAGGGGAGATGCTGCAGAGCTCTCCTCTCTTTTATTTATTTATTTATTAATTATTTATTTATCTATTTTTTGAGATGGAGTTTAGCTCTTGTTGCCCAAGCCAGAGGGCAATGGTGTGATCTTGGCTCACTGCAACCTCCGCCACCTGGGTTCAAGTGATTCTCCTGCCTTATTCTCCTGAGTAGCTGGGATTACAGATGCGTGCCACCATGCCCAGCTAATTTTTTGTATTTTTAATAGAGACGGGGTTTCGCCATGTTGACTGGGCTGGTCTTGAACTCCTGACTTCAGTTGATCCGCCCGCCTCGGCCTCCCAAAATGCTAGGAATACAGGCATGAGCCACCGCACCTGGCCTCTCTTTTTAACTTCCATCGGAAACCTTTCCTCCCAAGTCATCTCTAGCCTGCTCTGAAATGGGCTGTGACATTTGGTCACTGTGTAGCAAGTCCTGTGAGAATGAGCCTAGTGCTTGTCTTTAGAAAGTGAGTACTTTCTAAAGTGTGTGTCATCTATTGTCTCTAGTTTTGAGTAAACAGGAAGAGTCTCATTCTGTGTTCTTCATAAGTTTCATAGTACAGGGCCTGGCCCATAGTAAACACCAGCGAGTATTGGGCATTATCATTATTTACCTTCTTTGGGCTATAGTTTTCTCATCTGGAAAGTGGAGTTTATGGTGGGCTCTGCTCTGCTTGCCTCTTAGGACTGTTAACGTGCATGAAAGTATTGTAAGTCCATTTCATTTTTATACTTTAGCCACAGCAGAACGGGATCTCTCCGCGCATGTTTAAGGCCTTTGTAAGCAAGAGCCACCCGGAATTCTCCTCTAACAGACAGCAAGATGCCCAGGAATTCTTCTTGCACCTGGTGAATCTAGTAGAGGTGAGTAGTCAGTCTTTGCGATGCTCTGCGGGGTTGTAAGAAGGGTGCCGAGCCACTCAGTGCAGTCCGCTGTGGCTTGATCCGAGTGCCTCCCCATTCTCTTCTTGCTTCAGTCTCTTCTGTTGAAGCTGGTTCAGAATCAGCTCCCTGGAAACTCTCTGCTCAGCCCACTTGATGTGACTGCTCTTCACACGCTAGTTTCCAGACACTTGTGGATCTCTGTGCTCCTCTTAACCTATATGTGTTATAGGAGTGCTTGCCAGTTATTCCACTCACAATTTATTTTTCCTGGTCTTTGTGACAAAGTCCCTTAAGAGCCCCACATGGTATTTGGTGTCCTGCCACTGCTCAAAGATGATGACTCTGCTCACATCAGAATTGAATGCTATTAAAAACATTTTTTTTTTTTTTTTTTGATGGGAGTTTGGAGAGCGAGCGAGCTCTGTCCCAGGCTGGAGTACAGTGGCACGATCTTGGCTCACTGCCATCTTCCACCTCCCAGGTTCAATGATTCCTCCTGCCTCAGCCTCCTGATTAGCGTGGAATTATAGGCACCTGCCAACCATGCCTGCTAATTTTTGTATTTTTAGTACAGAGTATGGGTTCACCAGTGTTGGTCAGGCTGGGATCCTTGAACGCCTGACCTCGTGATCCACCTGCCTTGGCCTGGCTCCCCAAAGTGCTGGGATTACAGATGTGAGCCGGAAAGCCACTGAGAATTCCTGAGTAAAGGTTTTTTTCCCCCTGCAAAAAACAACTTTTCTTTTTTTTTCCGCCTTCATGGTTACAACAGGTTTCTT